ATAGATTGATGGATAGAAGGAATGGGATTAGATGAATGGTATGGTATGGCTGAAAGGATGGATTGATGGATAGAAGGAATGGGATTAGATGAATGGGATGGTATGGATGAAAGGATGGATTGATGGATAAAAGGAATGGGATTAGATGAATGGGATGGTATGGATGAGAGGATAGATTGATGGATAGAAGGAATGGGATTAGATGGATGCATAGGATGGGGTGGGATGAGATAGATAGAATGTATGAAATGAGATAGATGGGATTGGATGTACTGTATGGATGACTTGTTGGATCAAACGAATGGGGTTAAATGGATTGGATGATATGGATACATTAGGTTGGGATGGGATGAGATAGATGGAATTGGATAGTATGAGTGGATTAATTGATGGATCAAAACAGATGGGATTTGATGGATGGATGAGATTGAAAAGATGCATGGGATGGATGCATACACCACCATCCAGTCAGCTCAGTTGGTAAGAGGGGTGGTTTGCCGTGCGGGAGGTTGAGGTTGAAGCCTTAGCCAGACCAACGCTCAGGGTCTTAAAATAACTAGGAGAAGGTGCTGCCTTAGACTTTCACATACGTTAAGTTGGGATGGGATGGAATGGGATGAATGGAAGAGTGGGATGTGAGAGATGGAAGGTATTATATCATAAACATGGTTCATTAACATTTTCTCACACAGTCCTCTAACCTGATAGCATCAATGTACCCAGTTTCTTCAGGCTTCCACCAAGGTCTTGCTCTCAAAGGTGTATCGGCATTGTAGAGGGATCGTTGATAAGGTGACAAGAAGATACCTTTGTTAGCACCTTGTACATACACCTCATAAGCCTATATGAAAAATATATTATTTATATATAGGATGGGTGAAAACGTGCATAACAATTCTTAACTGAAACTGCCCGTGAAGGTTGACAGTAACCTGTAGACTTTGTTTCACTCACCTCTTGTGGTTTCCCTAATCTGTTCAAAGCATCTCCCAGGTGAAAATAAAAGCGCCCATCATTAGCTTCTGGCTCTCCACTTTGTATACCCTCTCTAAGTAAAGGAACTGACTCTTCATACTTCAGCTCTGATTTGAGTATAAACCCAAGATGTGCTTTTGCAAAGCCACTGTTTGGATTTATCTTCAAGACCTAGAAACATGACCTTGTTAGTGGGCACCTTCTATGAAAACGAATCTATAAAAACCTCTAACCACATGGATTGGTTTAAATGGTAGTTCTAGTATAATATTTTTGTAGCATGTTTTTTTCCCCTTTGGTAGTTATTTCAAAAGAGGATGATTTCTTTAGGAAAAATGTAGTTGCACTCTTTTCGTCAAAACAGAAGAATAAAATGAAAGAAAGTGTGCACTGGTTGAAAGGCGAAATTTAAACTGCATTAGATTTTTAAAAACAGCCCAACCGGGAATTGACATGATGACAAGCGTGATATTAAATTTATGCACTCTTGACGAACCTTTATAAAATATATTTGATTAATAAATTAATATCCGTTGATGATCAATTATTATACCTTTCTGAATATTTTCTTAGCATCATTGTTATTACCATACATAAGGTACTGCACCCCAAGGTCATTCATGATTCCCATGTCATCAGGAAAGAGTTCTGACAGCTTCTTGTAAGTTTGTGCTGCTTGTCTCAATCTTCCAAAAAAGCTCAGTCTATCAGCCATTCTTGTGAGTGCCAGCTTCTTTAGTTCTAAAGGACAATCCAACACATCTGGGACTTTGGCATAGGAATCAATGGCTTCTTGTAGTAGTTCATTACTTTGTCTCTTCTCTGAGAGTTTGTCTAGAGTCTGTGCCTTACCATAATGGGCTCTTGGACTCTTGGGATTTTTATCAAGTAATCCACGAAATCTAGAGTCACAAAGAGGCATACCTTATTACATGAAATTTTCGTGACACGTTTATTTTGCGATCTTACAGTGAGTGTTTTTCGCGACACTTTAATTTCTTGATTTTGGGAAATTTATGTATTTTGAATCACTTTAATTTCRCGTTTTTAAGTAAGGCACTATTTTAACTTATCCTTGAATCAAATAGAACGACTTTTCATCTACAATATCGTCAAAATTAACAAAAGATGCAGCGGCGGGTCTAAATGACAACATAAACAACAAAGAAGTTCTCACAACATCCATAAGGAATTCACGCTTGTACATGAATTTTTGAGTCATTGATTGACCACGATATCCATTAACAAGTTTCACGAAATCGTAAAATTCGCGAAAATTTCATGTCATAAGGTAATTGATTGAATGAATCTAAGGATTGATATACCCTTGAATCAGGTTGGTTCTATTTTGCTTTGAGCATAGGTTTATAAAGTTAAGTGCCAGCTTCTCACCGAAACAGCAAATGGAGGAATGAGAATAATATAACTCTGGGCTTTAGGGTAGATGAAATGAAAAACATTTGAAAAATATGAACTGGATGGATTGATGGATGGGTAAAAGAATGAATACCAGCCTATATCTAGTTGCTGAATGGGCCACCCTGCCTAAATAAAGTTTACCTCTAGAATGAATGAATAAATGAAATAATGAAACAGAATAAATTCTGAAATTAATGAATGGATAAAAAAATTGTTAACTCACCTTCTCAAGGCATCTTCTATTTTGCCTTTCACCAGCAAGTTATTTGCTTTCTTAAGTTCCTTTGATATATTCGCGTCATAACTGTTAGTGATTGCTGCAAATTGATCAGGCTTCTGATCTGCTACATTCCTAGCTTCTTTATTTGTCCCTGTAGGTGCAGAGCTTTCCTTTTTGGGCTGTATGCTTTGCTTCTCTGGCTCTTTATTCTTACTCGACGAACTGGTAGTTTTTGTATTTTTTTTTGTTTGTTTCTCTTGTCTCACTGATTGTTGTTTGTCTTGTGTTGTGTCTGTCTGTGAGTGTAGTTTGCCACCTTTAGGCCACAGGTTTGTATTATACACTATACAAGCTACAAATATTGCTACCACCACAAGAATGACAGCCTGCCAAATCAATGGTGATGGGATTCCTTCTTCATATTTCTTTTTCCTTTTTTGTTCTGGTTGTGCTTTGTTGTCATCTTGAAGAAAAATGAAAAAAATTGATTAAAAAAAAAGCGTATGAGTTTAATAGGATAAATTTAAGACTATAAAGTCAAACAAAAAGAAGTTATAAGTCCTAGTGAAGGTGGCTTTTATGTGATTGCTAAATGTAATTGCTACCACCTTTGCAGAAGATTTGCTCTCTAACTTCCTCTACCCAAAAATGTTGACACCTTCCCTCCCCACCCCCACCCCATCCTCTAATGCTGCTATACATACAGCTTGCAAAAAATGGCAGCTGTCAGTTGCCAATCATGACGACTGGCCAAATTAGGTTTTTGTTCAGTCATTTAAATCTGGCCGAAAATATTGCTGATCCTGATAAGTTCTGAATCTGGCCAGACAGGGCTTCATGATCTTGACCAGCCATATCTTTAGCCCTGTTATTTCTTATTCTGATAAGAATTAAAGGTATAAAACATCAGTAAAGTAAAAGTGATGTAAGCTGATGTGGGGGTGAGAAAGCTTGCCTCTCACCAAGCAACTCAGGTTCAAGTCCTATGCTTGACAACATATATACTGTACGTGCTTCAAGGGTTTTTCCTCTGGGATCTCTGATTTTCCTCCTACCACAAAAATCAAATTCTAAATTGAAAATTGAAATGCCAATTGAAATTCAGTGAATGAAAAGCTTTGAACTCTGTAAAATTTACCAATGTTAAAGTAAAACCCACTTACTTTGTTAAAAAAACCAGGTGGGTTGCACAGCTTAAACAAGATGTCGCAATGAAATATTTAAGAAAATTCTTAACAAAATATTTGCTTACAAAATTGTTCAATTAAATTTTAGATAAAAAATAATATACACCTACTTGCAAGAACGTTGTCATACGAAAATAGAACATTAGTGATTTAGTGAGAAAGGAATACATTAAAAGACAAAAGAAAAAGTTCAGCTTCAGTGATCTTCATTTGTTTTTTAATATAATTCCTATCCCACTAATCACTAATGTTCTATTTTCGTATGACAACGTTCTTGCAAGTATTGCAAGTATTGCAAGTATATATATATACAGAGGAGACATATCTAAATTGCATAGCATCGTTATCCAGTCAAAAAATTTTGTTTGGTAATAATTTAATCATGTAAAAAATTTTTTTTTTAATATGTGAGAACAGTTTTATTTCTTCAAAAGTAACATTAATTTTCTTTTTTTGTTAAAATAAAACACAGTTGTTTAATTATTTACTTAAAGAAAAAATTAAATTAATTTATTAAACACAAAATTTGATGTATTTTTTATTGTTGTTGATTTTAACTTAATTTATATAAACTGCCCAAATATATATTTTTAGGCAAAAAATTGCAAAAGATTTCAAGCTAAGTGGGCATCTGAAATTATTTTCTTATTTCGGGACGGTGAAAATAAAAAAATCGACCAGAAATGAATACATTAAAAATTGACAGCAGAGCTGATCAAACATGAAAATAAACACATTTATATTCACAAAAACTTTAACCAAAGTCCATCAAAGTCTGTTATTGAACCCTTAAATTTTGGAATTTAGATTAAAAATATATATTAAGTCCTAGAAAAATATTTTTGCATACATTTTAAAGTTTGAAATACTTTTGAAATTGTACCTGTGTAGAGTTATATGAAGCGTACTCACGACCGCCATTGTGAATCAGGCAGCTTGCACTTAAAATAATGCTCTAAATACGTCCTCATGATGAGTTAATAACTACTTCAAGCTACAGTTTATAAATTGCGAATCAAATGAAGGGACAACGAGTCTATATCGCTGCTCAAATCTAGGGACATATTTAAAGTTTTGTCGAGGAAACTCTTGAGTTTAAATGACTGGAAGCTTCAAGCCGGATGTGTGAGAGTCGGGGAGTTGCCGCAATAATCATGAACTTTTTTGTATGAAAATATTTCATTTCACTGCTTTAAACTCTTCGAGACTTACCTTTATTCATCTTTTCGTTGCTTTTTCTTTTAGGAAGAGCCATTTGACCTTATTTTGAGAGCCCAGACCATTGACTGCACCGCCTGTTGTACCTCCGTCCGATCACTGACGACTGAAGCGTTATATAGGTCACTTGTCGGACTTAACAATATCCCTTCACTACCACCCCCTAGGRGAAATTCGCAATCCCGTATAAAAAATATGCCATCCCTTTAAAAAAATGTCCAAGATCCTTTCATCATATACTTTACTGATTTTCACTAGAGCTACTTAGACCATTCAAAATAATGAATCCCATCTGAGTTGGATGTCTTTCCGTAAATAACTATTATATCCCCTAGGTACTATACACGGGAGAACATTTTGCTCGCTTCCAGTTACTCTGCTTCTTCCATGAACCAGTCCGGCAAAATTGCTGAAAGACAACTGACATTGAAATCTTTCGAACTTATAGTCTTTAAAGGGGTTYAATATAAAATTGATTTGGCACCCTTTTAACGCGCACTATATATATGCTAGCTGGATGCTTTTGTTAGAGCGGAGTCTAAATAGACGGCGTCACAGATCGCAGCGCACCGTGCCCCACCGTAACTTTTTTCCTGTATTTATCCCCACCCGGGCATGTACTCTGCAGTCTGTAGCTACTAGGGCTGTGATTTCAATCCTTTCCTATGTATTTACATGTCAAGGGCAAAGCCTTGACATAGTAAATACATTTTGGAAGTCCAATAAAGGGTAAATATGTAAAGCTTTTTTGGGAAATGGACGATGTACCTGTGGCAGTCGATTGAAAGATGCCACAACTGGACGGCATGCGGCTAGCTAATGAACTCGTGATATTTTCCCGACATAAGTAAGGCAGCATAAACCAACATTCAGTAAGTTTTATTTTTCTTAGCATTCTAATTATTTTTTCTCCACTGARTCACCCCCTCAAAAAAAAACATTTTTATCAGAGAATGGCCCTCTATACACGTATATACGATGCGCGCTTTTATAGCCGCCGCTGCATTAAAAATTACACGCGCTGTTGACATTCACTATTAAAAAAAGTCGTCAAATGCATACTAGTTTTCATTGATAATTTTTAACCTCAGCTCCTACTACAACGCAACCTTCATGAGGTGACAGGGCCTACTTCTAGAAACTCTGGACAATGGTTAGCGGATTAAAAATGATATATATTTAAAACAAACTTTAGATACAATACAATACAATAACTTTATCGATCTCCCTCTAAAGGGCTTTTCAGATCTAATTTACAAGAGATAAAACTAAGCTAACCTAAACTAAGAAAAGCACTATTTATTACAGTTTAAAATCAAAAGATAAAAGGCAAAATGAAAACGCGCCTTCATCATAGGCAGACTAGCCATTGACTGTTTGTCCAAGGAGCCGTCATTGAATGTCATCAATGGCAAATCCTAGGGTGATTCAGTTTTTTTCTAAGAGGTGACCATTTTTGTACAACCCCCCCACCCCCCACCCTTTAAGATCCAGGATCTGCCACTAATTATGAAAGACTGCTCAACAAAGGTTCACTTTCTGAAGGCTCATCATCAACAATACCCATGGCTGACAATCTTAGAGGGTTATTCCCTCTTCGTATAGTTGATACTCTTTTAAGACTTCTCTTCTCAGCAGCCAAAAGATGATTGGCCCAAAAGCATTGGTCAACTTCTGTTCTGTTACCTCCAAACTCAGCAGGGAGGTCCTCTGGTGGGATATGATTGTGGAGAGTTGTCATGTTGTTACCGTGGAGAAAAATCTGTTGAAGTTGACAAAAATATTCAATGATGGTTGCATGTGCCTTAATGGATATTAGCAAAAAGTGGAACAGGTAGGAGGGTGGATATAGCCAACTCCAACCCCTTCCTCTTCACAGTCCCTGGCAGATTTCAAATAGTTGGGGGGACTCCATAATCCCTACTCCTGTCCTGGTAGACTTTCACAAAGCCCACCACCCTTTGTGTATCTCTACCTCTCGTGACAAATCTTGCAACAATCTCTTGCTTGCTGCGCTTGATAAATTCTTGCTTCACTCAAATAAAATGCTATCACAGGAGACAAGAGACGTCAACTTGGGGCAAGTCTGCCCTGGCTATACAATCAGGCAATTAGCTTTTTTTCAATATAACCATGAACCTTACGTTGATCGATGCACTTACCCTCTCTTGGATGTTGTCCTTCATAAATGGCTTCATCAGTGCAATGAGAGCATTCACATACCAAGGCTGATTGATGAAATGAATATTTCGAAACCAGATTGGAAAACATTCCTGTTAAGGAAAAATGTAGCAAAGTTGTGGTTAGGGACTGTTCATAAGCTAAAGTGGAAAATTATTACTATTATTATTATTTATTATTATTTTTACTATTATCATCACACAATTTTAGCTGTCTAAAACTGTACATTAGACATTTGCAATTTCTGCAGGAAAACTTCGGAGGTTCATCACTTTAAGGTTGGAAAAGTGATTAACCCCCCATGTTTTCCTGCAGGAATTGGACCAACAGAAAGAAAACTCCTTCAAATCCACTTTTACCCCCAACCCTCTTTACTTTATGACCTTTTTGTCATCAAGGCTGTAACATATAATTATCAGTTTAACATTCTTTCCCTAATGATACCACAATTATTATCATTTCTATAATTACCTGGAATATTGAAGTAATTTTTCTGATATAGCCAATATTAAGTTTCTTGGCATGATTTGTGGTCCATCCGCTGAAATCTACCAACAAAAGAATTCCTTTCTGCCGTACTTGAATGTTTTTACTTAGATGTTGAAAGCTTAGAATCATGGCTTTGAGGATTATTTCTACATTAAAAGTTTCAATATCCCATGTCCCAGCAAACAATACCATTATTTTGGAACCTTCTGGATCCGAATATGGCAAAACACAGGGAAAGCCATCTTCAAGAATATATCTAAGTTCAGATGCTTTAACGTTTTTWAAAAAGTTGGGATTTTTCTTTCGGAAATCGAAGTAGCTACACAAAAGATCAAATGCACAGTCAACATTAAAACGTCTAGCTTGTAAAAATGTTAACAAGAATAAATCATCGCAATCTTTAAAGTCGATGTCCGTCCTCAAGGGAAGGAGATCTCGAAGTTTTGTTACTTCGTCAGAACATCTTTCTTCGTTGCAGTTGTCGACATCTTGTTCGGAAGAATTTGAATTTGAATCCCCGTTAAACTCATTCTTTGAAGTGATCATGTCGTTGGAATATATTGTGCTTTCATTTTCGTAGTCGTTGTCACGAATATTGTCTTCCATAGTCTTTTTTTTATAAGTTTTGAAGTAATAAATTTCGCAATGACAGTTCGTTGTAAGATTTCAGCTAAGAATTAACGTTGATTACGCATAGATAAACGTGTACAGACCAGTATTAAAGTCTTGAAAGAATCCCTACTTGATCGAGCATCGACACATTAACTTCAATTTAACAAGAACTGAGCACGTTCCGTCCTTACGTGTGAGAAATCCTTGACAACAGAATGTGTCTTCAAAAACTTCTACCATATCATTACCATTGCTATAATTATCAATATTATTCATAGCCACATTCCTTCCAGATCTTAGCCTAGCAATATTAGACTGGCGTCTATTCGTGCATAAACAGGATTTATTTCTCATCATGGTTGAGAGATCTTTGTCAAAATAATTGTTCTAATACAAAAGTTGTTCCCTTTTGATCTCTTTTGATACACATTGTGTTCAATTTGCGCAGGCGTTCCTGAATCGCGCAGTTATGACCCGTGCCTCCACAGGTAGCCCAAGCTTGGTTTCGGTGGTGTCATGTTATAAGGAAATGTATGATCATTGATAAATAGCACTTCTTTTGCTCTGTGTGGTTATTTCTTAATTTAGCCCGTCTTAAGATCCCCCCCAGTAAGGAATAAGAGGGAAAAAAACAATAACCACATGACCACAGAAACCAAGCTTGGGCTACCTGTGGTGCCTCCCCTCCCTCCATTAATTTGATTATCAGGTTCAGTGTTATCTATTGCTTCAAATACAGAGTTAAGGGTATTTATTTAGACTACTATATTATATTTACCATTCAGGTACTGTGTAGTTCTGTGTAGTACATTTGCACAAATTTTGCTAGGGCCGGCCTCTCTACCCACCCCTCCCCTGTGCCTTGCGAATTTGTCTACAAACTTTCAAAGCTATCATTGAAAAAATATAAATATCTAAGACCTATATCCTAATTCTATATTTGTCATCTTGAAGGTATGATAGTCGCCAGATTTATTAAATTTTTCAGTCTCCCTTTTATTTCCATGGAGTCTTACACATGCACAGCTGGCTGATTTGCATTTCGTGATCAGTAACATAAATATTCCACCTTGTCACATCCAAGATGGCGTCGCTTCTCAATGCTGACGGTGAACATGTTCTTCTTTCTTGCACTTGTTCTGCTCTTTCTCCTCTCACTAGACTCTATTTCTGCCGCCATTGTATTAAACTAAGGTGCCAGCTTTGCGTTTCACACGAGGTAAGAGCAAACAGTGTTAGTTTTTTGGGCGAAAATTTGAATTATATTAGCCCTACCCTTGGTCAATATCTGGACCATTTAAAATTATGTTACAGTCCACAGAAGTTTAGTTAATGTCCCATTTTTATTTTGTCATCAGGTTGATTCATATTACTGTCCAAATTGCCTCGAAAATATGCCATCAGCTGAAGCAAAACTCAAGAAAAACCGGTAAAAAGAACGTATTCTTAGACTATATTATAAACCAACCCAACACACAGATCATTCATTGTCTCATTTAAAATTCATGGTCAACCTTCTTCATCACGTATATATCTGAAATCTGTTTTGCCAACTTATTCCCTCAGTATCTCTCAATCTTGGGTTTTGTCATAATTTAGTATCATCCAGTTTTGTGAGAAAAATGCATTTATAATACATATACGTAAAAGCCCTCACCATGATCTTGTAGGCAGTCTAATATGGGTGGCTTGTATTTATAAGTTAATAGAAATTGTCTACCAAAAATGAATAAAACAGACATGTAAAAAATAACAATATATTAACCTTAAATTAAATGAGCTATTTTACTGAGCTTACTTTAATTGGAGTTACCCTGTATAAATATAACTTAAACTTACTTACAAAATATTTCTTCCTTTTCTCTAACTAGTCTCCTACTAATGGGGGCTGCATAGTACTATTCTCTAACCCGACGTTACTAATTGAATAAAATCAAACAAAAAAGTATTTCAAAGACAATCATTCAATTGTTTTATGAATTACTCCGACAAAGGATTAACATCTGAAACGTCAGTTTCACAAAGCTTTTTACGGTGGTTCAATTTATCCATAAGTTCCTGCTGTTTTATGAATGGTTAAGCAATCAAAAAAATATGGAATGTTTTGGTAAGCTTGATTGCTGGACTAAGTACAGTTCAATTTGGGTAATTGACTAAAGAATTATTCGATTCTCAAAGGTTCGATTTGTGTTTGATTACCACCATGTTTAGTGATTATGTTATATTGCCAAACAGAATCCAGATTAATCCAATGATGGGAGTTTGATATTATCAATAAAAATATTTATCGTTGTTATTTTGATTTATTTATTCATTTATTGGTTTAGGTGTGCAAACTGTTTTGACTGTCCCAGCTGTGGAAACACTCTATCAACACGCGCAACTGCTGTGGCTATTCCTTCTGAAGACAAAAAGACACCACCTCAGGCAAAGAAAGTGTATTATCTTGCTTGTGGATTTTGTAGGTGGTCTTCTAGAGATGTTAATATGGAGGACCGGACTGTTGGTGAGCACAAAATGAAGTGATTCCAGATAATATCCATACCTATTGAGGGTACATCAAGGTGTCAATTTGATCATTTCAAATTTTTTTCAGCAAGTGGTGGGTGGCCAGACCCTGAAAATCCATCTGCTAAACGGGTGAGTGGTCAACTGGTTAAAAATCCAGATAATTCAAATAAACTTTTGCCAATAGACTCTTACATAGATTCCTTATCTAAAGTGAAATTATTCTCATTCCTCCTATTCATCCATTCATCTATTTATCCCATTCATTTATTCATCCATCCTATTAATTCATTTGGCCAATACATTTATTGAAATATTCATTGACTCATCTATCTACCATTTACTATTCATTAATTTACTCATGGATCCACTTATCCATCCATCCCACTTATTTATTCATCCATTTATTCATTTTTTTTCTCTTTTTAGATTGGAACCCTAGTTGACTTCTACAGGCAGCTTGCACAAAAAGAGAAAGTAGAGAGAGAAAAGAAGAAGTTATCCAAGAGACGTAACTATATGCATTTGGCTGTAAGTAATAGAATAATACATGTAGATTATAACACATGTATGTTAAGATCTGGCTGATGGAATGAATGACCCACTGACCGACCAACCGACCGACCAACCGATAAACTAACCAACTAACTGACCAACAGGGCAACTGACTAAATGATAGAATGAATGATTAAATGAGTAACTGACTGACTGACTGAATGAATGAATAATTGAATGAAATACATGAATGACTGACTGACTGATCGACTGACTGAATGAATGAATGAAGGAATGAATGAATGAATCAATCAATCAATATTTGATAATTAAAACAGTCTCTCCCATTTACTCAAAGCAAGCATGATGTACATGCAATATCTATCCTAAATAAATCATATAAAACACATTAATTGTAATATTATCCACCGATTATGATTTTCAAATAATAATTTGAAATAATATCTCTCCAATTAACTTTATTCTGATGACTACTTCTGGTACTTCTATGAATGGACAGTTCACTCCAAAAAAGAAAAAGGTAAAGCCCTTTAAACACTTAAACTTTTGTTATAATAATTGATATTAAAGTTTATACATGATTTCTACCCTTAAAAGCACCAGCATAAACTCTGAATTTTTTCCGAGAATATCAACAAATTAATTTTTAATTAATCAAAATAACCTGTTTCTTGTGCATTAATAAAAAATGTGCAAGACATACTAGCCATTAAACTGATTGTCTTGACATTTCTTTAACCTTGAATCAAAAAATTTAAAGATTTTGAATTTTATCTGATTATTTTGAGTCATCCCTAAAGCCCAGTTTTCACTCGTAATCGAATCCAAGTTGGAAGCAGTTCATGCGAAAATTACTCCAGTTTTGAGTTTTCTGTTGCTCAAGGGTTAAGCCTTGAGGGTTAAGCCTTGACTTTTTCCAACGAAGGACTAACGTCCGAAACGTCAGTTTCACAAAGCTTTTTACGGTGATCCAATTTATCTACAAGTTCCTACTGTTTTAAAGTATAATTATATTCTTTGAAATAAGAAAGCTAAATAGCACCCTTTAGGATTTGTTCTACTGCTAGCCAACTCGATCCTTGAAAAGTTATTAGAATTTGAAGACTATCTATTAAAGCTGCTAAGGCACTTGAATAGCCCCTGTAAAACAAATAAATTAATAATGTGATTCCTTAAACACTGTTTTAAAAAAGTTAAATATTGGTAGGTTAAAGAGAAAATAATTCATTTCAAATGATCTGGCAAATATGGTATCAGAGTATGCGGATGATCAGAACATGTTTAAAGTTCCTTTAAAAGTTTGATTTTTTACTAACACTGACTCTCATTACCCTGAATAACTCCAGAATATGAACCAACTTTAATATCAATCTTTATGATTATAGGATAGATTGGGCATGTCCTCTCTGAGCAGGAGAAAAAGCAGTCTTTCTTATCTAACTGCTCATTTGGGTAAAGGGTAAGTGTGCTTTATACTCTAAGAACAACTGATTTCTATTTGATTCCTCTAACAAAAACCTAAGACATTCTCTGGGCTGATCTTTAGAGAAGTCAGTCCATGTTAAGTCACGAATTGAATTGGAATTTAGCTTGTTGAATTTTATGAGGAGAGAAAGTACTCTGAGAAAAACCCTAAACTCAAGGGAAAGACCTCCTACTAGACTTTCGCACCTTCTTCTACCATATATTAGTTCGCGCTTGCTGAATAAAGCACAGGCAGTACAACCAGGATCACAAGTGCTGGACAAAGTTTCCTGCCAATTTTGGTGGCCCAAAAATGAGTCGCTGAATTATGCTCACATTCTTTATCAACATACATGACTTAGTGCATGCTACAGAAATGCATGCCATTATTGGCGCAAAAGGCAAATGAAAATCCTTCAGGATGAACAAGTCGATTTCTCACGACTTCAACACTAGATTTCCCCCTTGCTTTGCTTGTGACTTTGTGAGTATCAGAGAGGTCTGCTTGGAGCAAGTCTTATCTTTTCCTGAAACAAACTCTACTCACATGTTAGGCTGACCCAAGAAATCGAATCTGAGACCCCAGAGGTGAGACTTCAAAGCATAAAATGTACATATACAGTCAATTTGCAAAGACTTTTCGAGCCGGTCACCAGCAACTTTATTGAAATATTATGTGCACAATACTATGAACATGGATGGACAAGCAGTTTTGTATTGCCCCAAGGCTTTGAAGGTACCATTATATATACTGCCTTGGGCTCTGATGTGGTATTACCATTTGTTTGGTTTTTCAGCAAAGAGATGGAAGATGTTGAAATAGTCTTAAAAGAACCAAGCAAAGCAACAGAAGATGTTGAAACTCTTCCTGAGGAATTCTACACTCTACCACTGTTTCTAGAAAGAGGTAAGTAACAAGAATAATTCAAATAAACTTTAAATAAAATCTTTGTTTTTTCCAGCTGGAGCAAGGGTGGCCAAGTTGATAATTTGTTTGTTTTTTTCTTTCAGTTCCTCATATATCACAAAGACTTGCCAACCCAGACCTCCAACCTACTGGCATAAAGTATGTAGCTACGTTACTACGCCGTTTTTCTTGTGTCCATCTCTCATTTCTTGGTATATATTTTATGGACAAACTTATTTTCAACAGAAATTAAAGAGCCATTGTATGCATGGTACTAGTTAAAGCTATTTAAAATTGTCTATTAGATTTCATTCRGGAATTTTCGATTCATATCAAAATCAATCAGTTTCCTTTGAAATTCAAAACAGATTCTGGGCTGATCAAAGTCTGACCATAGATATCCCAAAGATCAATATTTGGAATTAAGTCTGTTTGCATAGACTTTAGTCATCAGTTTTTGAAAGCATGATTTTTGATTGTATCAAGACCAATGTGGGGGCACATTGTGCATAAATTGTGTGTTTGTGTGGTGATGGGAGGGGTAGGGTGTGTGTGTAGGAGGAGAGGGGAGGGGGGCAGGGGGCAGGGGTAGTGCCCTAGCATACAACCTTCATCATTTTCACTTTTGACCTGGCTGTTAAGTTTTGAAAATTAAAAGCAAAAACTAAATTTATTCTTAGGTCTAGGTTGCAGATTTTGTAATACGGTTTTTTTTCATTGTCAGATCCCTGCACACAAGACACAAACATCTGCTAGCCAAGAGATCACAGCGATGCAGGGTAATTATAGAGTTTAACATGTTGTCAATACTATCGCATTACACAGGTGAAGGTACTGTGTTTAATATGCTATTCTCAGCAGTGTACAAATATATAAAAAAAGCATTAGCATATTAGTCACTTTACTTACAGTAACTCCCAGTGTGTTTATTGTAAGAGCATTGAGATATTATGTAATTGGCTAGAATAATTTTCTTTTTTCTTTTTTTTTTTTTTTTTTTTTTTAACAGGAGTGTGAACACAACCTAAGCAAGCCTGAGTTCAATCCTTCTTCCATCAAGTTCAAGATACAGCTTGGATCTGCGTGCGTATCATTCTGTGATTGCCTTAGATGCATGCATCTCATTTCACATCCCTCTCATTCCATTCCACCACACCGCCACGCTTTCCTCTCTTGACCCCTAATTCATTCCTAATTCATTTCCTCTATAGTTCATTGTGTTTAGGGCTTTTTTGTTTCCAATTCTCTGTTGCTCAGAGTCGGTCTTGGCTTTGCATAAAATATTCACACGTTCCATTGAAGGGCCGTAGAATTTCAAAGTGTTTGTTTTGTTGAAGTTGTGCATTGTTTAATTTACTGTCAGTATTCGCGAATATTCTGTAGGAACACAGTGGTATTTTTGTATCGATAAACTTAATGAATAAACAAACGAATGGATGGATGGAATTAATAATTGGGGGAATGAAGGAATGGGTGGATAAATGTACGGCAGATTCATATGAGTGGCATTTCCATTGAGAAGTTTTTTTATTCACTAAATCTTCAAGAAAGAAAAAGATATATTTATAATTTATTAAATGCTAATCCTATATTGTTTCCTTTTCTTTGTCCAGTTATTATGTGCCAAGACTAAGAATAGCGCAAGTCCCGAGCCTTTTTTATAACCAGGTTTGTTGAACAGGTTAAAGCAAAGGAGAAAGATTTGCATTTAAACAAATATAGAAGGAAAAAAATATGGGGGTTAAAATTTAAACATAAAATAAGAGTTTATAATTTTTTTTTGATGGTGTAGAGAATGAAAAAAATAATTCGACGAGGATGGGATTCGAACCCACGCGGGCAGAGCCCATTGGATTAGCAGTCCAACGCCTTAACCACTCGGCCACCTCGTCATCTGCATAGCAGGTACTATATAATTCAGTCTATACATGTGTTTTGTTTTGCAGGAGGCACAGATCACTCTATCGATGACCAATCCAGTAGAGAGCATTGTTAAAGTCACTCTTCACTCATATGAAAAGGATGATGATGAAGACGATGAAAATAAGAAAAATGAAGACAGCAAAGAAAATTCAGAGAACGAGAAAAACAACGAAAAAAAAGGAGAGGAAATTAAGAATGAAAAAAATGAGAAGATTGAAGAGAATTCTGTCAAGGAAGAAAAAGATGAGCCAACTGAAGAAAAGAAGGGAAACGACGGCAAGGAAAATAAAAGCAATGCTGATGAAGAAAAAGGAGCCAGTGAAACAGCGGAACAAGAGAAAGACGCGAAGAATAAAAGGAAAACAGATAGCCTTGTTTCATCTGCTTTGTTTGATAGGAAGACAGAACGACGTGTGGACAATCGCTGTGAGAGTAGAGCGTTTGTTCCTACTGCAGAGGTAAGTCGTTTATACGGTAGAGCAGGAAAATATTACTTCTAAACATCATCACCATCATTGTCATTATGATGATGATGATGATCTTGATGATGATGACGATGAAGATTATGATGATAATGGTGGTGACGACGACGATAATAATAAATGATAATGACGACGATGATTATGGTGATAATGATGATGACGATAATTATGTTGATGTAATGTTGACGATGATGATGATGATGATGATGGCGATGATGGTGATAAATGATGGTCCGATGGTGGTGGTGATAAACCACAATGATGACATTGATGTTAATAACTATGATAGTAATGATGATAAGGATGGTGAACAATATGACGTTACTAGTAATGGTGATGACGATGATAATTGCAATCTGTGCTGTATTATTTACTAGCTTGTGTGATGTCTGTCTGTCTGTCCGTAGGTTGTGTTACCAACATGTGCTCTAGCTCTGGGAGCACGTGATGAGGCTGCTGAGTTCGATGACTCTGATACTACTGCAGAACTGTTCAGTGATGACCCGAGGTGATTTTAGGTCCAATTGTGCTATCACATCATAACTATTATACACAATAAACACTTTCAAATCGATACCCTGAAACAACCTCTGGGCTGATCAAAATAAGGGCATGGTTGACTCACAGATCGAACCCTGAAACAACCTCTGGGCTGATCTAAGTCAGGGCATGACTAACTCACAGGTCAAACCCTGAAACAACCTCTGGGCTGATCTAAGTGTGGGCACGGCTAACTCACAGATAGAACCCTGAAACACCCTCTGTGCTGATCTAAGTCAGGGCACGGCTAACTCACAGATAGAACCCTGAAACAACTTCTGGGCTGATCTAAGTCAGGACAATGCTAACTCACAGATCAAACCCTGAAACAACCTCTTTGCAGATCTAATTCAGGGCATGGCTATTTTACAGTTCGCACCCAGAAACAACATCGGGGCTGATCAAAATCAGGACACAGCTTCATGGGTTTTGCTGATGAATAAAACAGCAGGAACTTGTGGATAAATTGGATCACTGTAAAAAGCTTTGTGAAACTGACGTTTTGGATGTTAGTCCTTCGTCGGAGTAACTAAGATTATTTTTCAATTAAATTTAGCTATCAGTTAAACACGAGCATTAATTGGATTTTTTTATCCTGTAGAGTGGTTGCTGATAGGCAGGCCAACAAACTATGGTTCTATGTTAAGGTTACGCCCAAGAAACCAGTAGGGGATGTGAAGGTAGGAGGAAAAAGTCTTTCCCTTGAAGCTTAGTGAAGAAATAGAGCTTTTCGCCTTGGACGTAATGTCTTCCCATTTCAGGCCACGTGTCATTCTCTTGAGAAGTAAATTCGTTGTTTGAAATGCATSCATATTCATGTCTTCTTATGCACAAACGTTAAACAAACATAGACACTCTAAGGTGGAGTGATACGTGGTCTTAAATGGGAAAACTACGCCCAAGCTAAAAAAGTTGAACCCCCCCAAAAAGTCTCTCTCCAACCTGCAGTCTTTTCATATGAGTGGGGAACGTACGGTACTGAATTACAGCACGTACACTGTACGACATGTCGTAACATTGATGTGGCTTCCCATAGGGATGGTTCAAGTATGAGTGGGAAACGTACGGTACTGATCTACAGCATGTACACGGTACGACACATACCATAACATTTATATGGCTTCCCATGAATGTTTTTTTAAGTGGGTAATGTAAGGTACTGACTTACAGCATGTACACCGTACGACATGCTACAACGTTGGATATAGCTACTGCTATGTTAAGATGCGGTACTGTTACAGTACGCAACAAATTTGTGGTATACGGTTTCCCACTCATATCAGTTTCTTCTAACATCAAACTAACAAAGATTACACTCGTTTTTTGTTCAGTTTTCTATGATAATGCAGTATGACTACAAGCATACCACATCAACATTGATCAAGGGTGGACAGGAACCGGAAACAAGAATCGAGACTCAACGACACAAGATTCACATTAATCTAGGCCCTGTTGAAGGAGCTACAGACGTCTAAAAACCTTTAATTTCTTTGTTTCGAACCTAGTAAAGTGGTTTAGACCTATTCAGGGGTCTCTTTTAGGATCTTGTCTGGTGTCTGCTGAATAGAAGTTGATTTTATAGTAAATTCCATTGGGTGACAAGGGAATTCTAGACTCCCCTGCAGCCGTTCTTAGTGTCGTCACGCAACGTTCCCTTGCGTGACGACACTAAAAACGTCTATGGGGGAGACTAAGGGAATTTCACGTTGAATTTCACAAGAAAACCGATATCGCACGAATCACGAAGCGATTAGTGCGATATCGCGGGTTTTTCGAGTGAAATTCTATTGAATTACCGAGTCAGATAATGAATTTTAGTTGAATCCCATGGCGAAAAGATTAAAAAATAGACTCATTTACGCGAGTACCTCTATTTTAATAGAGGTACTCGCTTAAAAGCTGACACCTTCAGAACATTGCCTGGTGTTTGCCTTGTTATTCACGCGGCGGTAGCCATGTTGATTTAAACAAAAGGTTGTGCACGCATGGCCTCGCATTCAAGTGCTTGAAAATAGATTTATGCGGGTGAAACAAAGGCTTTTTATCTCATGAGAACAAACATTGCCACCCACCGTCGTAAGACACTAGAGAGTTTAAGATTATCGTTTAGGGCAAATGTGAAACGTCAGTTGACCATTAAAAAAGGAATCGAAAAAATCTCCAAGTAGTAGATAAACAAAAGAATACTTGTCTTTGCCGAGAAGGTTTGCAGTTTGCAAATTTAAGAGTTCTAGTTAGAGATAATGTTATTTATTGTCTATAAATGCATAATTATAGTATTAGTAAAAGGGTTACACCTGTAAATTGAAATGTGTTTAGAATGGTTTTACTGTAACAATATCAATACCTAAACTCTGTTTTTTGATGAAACTAATGAGGACAATGTGAAGGTATTAGAGAGTTTTAGATTTACGTTCCCGGCAAACGTGAAACGTCAGTTGACCAGCAAAAAATTCTTTTAAATTACTGAAAAAGAATGGTAAAAAGTCCAAGTAGTAGAAAAACAAAAGAGTATTTGCGCTTGGTGAGAAGGTTTGTAAAAGATAAAGTAAAATACAGGAAAACTATGAAAACGTGGTCACGTTTGCCGTTTGCGGGGAGAAAAAAAAGTCAATCTAAAACTCTCTATTTCATTATTTAGCCGGTTAGGTAAGTCACAAAGTAATAAACTGCCCCCCCCCCAGCTTCCCCTTACCTCCCCTGGTGTTTGTCTTTCCCATTAATAACATAAATATAATATCTTTGCCACCGTCGCAGTGTTCAGAAAATAAGTTTTGCTATTTCATGTCATATTTTTGAGTGTTTGTCTGGGGTTTTCGTGCTCATTGAAGATCTCAAATAGTGAGTTTTAGTAAATATGTTGGGCACGCGTTGTGACGATCCCTGTCTTTATTCCGAAATAGATCCCATTTCCTTGTTTTGGGCAAACCCCATATCATAACATAAGCAGGTAGATGTCATGAAGGAACAAACAAACATTCCCCTTCAGACTAGGGTTTTCCCCCACAACAGGTGCTACTGATTTAACAYGTTTTGACTACATTATTTTAGCATTATTGTATTCGGTAATCGATCAAGGGAAGGTCACACTATAAATTGAATTATAAACTTCCATTTTTCCATTCGTAAAACCTGTATATATTTCTCTGATTCTGTACCACAAACTACACTTTAAGATGTGACACGCGAAAGAACTCTATACCCTAACATATTAGCCAAAGGCCACTAAATACTTGGCGATAAGTCCGAGCGAAACATCGTTTCGATGACGTCAAATGTCAGGCCTAAACAATATTAATTCAAAGCAGTTTAAAAATATCTTTAAAATTCGTGGAAATTGGTCGTAATGTCATTTTTGTCTGATTATGCAATTTTCTATTAAAAAAWTTTTTCGTTTACTTATAACGCTTAATAATGCAGCATATACTTCGTGAACAAAACCAAAAATTACGGGCAGGCAAGGAACGTTATAACCAGGTTGATAATTTTTATTGAATCGTTTAGTCATTAAAGGTTTCTTGAATCAGTGAATCGTTTAAAAAAAATAAAACATATATCATGGAACAATGTGGTGAAGAAACGAGAATAATAGTACAAGAAGAGGAGAAGATAGACGAAGGCTTACCAACCAATCATGACACTGAGCACCTTGAATGTCGGAGGTGAGTACTTGGGTTTTCGTACACTGCTATTATACTTCTGCACGTCAAAACATATCGAAGAAACGAATTATCGGAATTTTATCGAGGATGTAATGGAATTTTATATTAAAAAATATTATTTCAAAGAGTGACCAAAGCTACAGCGCTTGTTAATTAAGCTTCATGTGCAAGATTCTGATGGGGAAAAAACAAATTGCACTAATAAAAGATTGTTTTTTCTATCTCTTTCTCAGATTACTTGAACTCTATTCTCGTCTCTCAGAAGATGAGCGCAAAATGTTTTTGAAAACCATGCCAAAAGCGAACTACAAACTACAAAGACAATTAAAGGATACCAAGTTCCCAGGATTGCCTGAAATGGAAGGAGAAGAAGAAGACGAGTTCACTCGCTTTACTCTTCACCCAGAGAGGAATCATAAACCTAATAGTTACGCTCAAATGCATTTTCGTTTAGCAGGTTCGTATCAAAGCACTGATATTTACCGACTTCCCTATAAATCAATAGAATCTGGTCAAAATAAGGACTAAATCTTTAACCACTGAATTTAGCTCCATAGCTCCAAAGGAGTTTCAGTAGGTTCTTTAAACACATATTTGGTAGTAATAAAAATAAAATTATGTACCCGTGACTAGGGCAAAGAATATAAGAATTTTACATATTTTGTATGGTCTGATGATTAGATTTCGGAAGTACGTAACCGCGGCTGAATTCTAGGAAAACTTGCTGAAATGTACGCATGCGCCAAAGCGTTTCTTTAACTCCTAAAATTAAACAACCTCTGGCTAGCTCAATGATCAAAGTCTGGGCACGGCTAACCCACAAATTCAATCCTGAAACAACCTCTGGGCTGATCTAAGTCAGGGCATGGCTATCTCACAGATCGAACCCTGAAATGATATCTGGGCTGATCTAAGTACAGTCAGCTTGTTACGGTTTTAAATTTCATGAAGAGAAACTGAACCTTGTTCGTGTTTGTCAGCGTCTAGATACCCGGCACCCGGGAACCAATTTTAAAATACTAGATATCCGGGAGTTTTTGATTTTTGAAAAAAATCGTGAACTAAACACATCTTTGCCCATTGAAAGTATTCTTACTTTATTTGGAATAGTCAAGCGCTTTTGCTAGCGGGTATCTAGTATTTTGAAATTGGTTCCCGGGAGCTAGAAAGTTTTCTAAGTGTCTTCGAATTGACTTTCGTATTCTATGCTGAGAAAACAGCAAAAGGGAAAATACAGATCTTTTATCGTTAGCAGAAGCGCTTGACTATTCCAAATAAAGTAAGAATACTTTCAATGGGCAAAGATGTGTTTAGTTCACGATTTTTTTCAAAAATCAAAAACTCCCGGGTATCTAGTATTTTGAAATTGGTTGCCGGGTGCTGGGTATCTAGACACTTCGTTCATATTTTCCACTAACTTACTCAAATTTTTTCATAGAATCTCAGTTTTTTCGTCTAGAGGATGACAACAAGAACTACCGCGTAACTAAGGTGGAATATATCGTTAACCCTTTTCTTGAGAAAAGGTTTCGTGAGGAACAAGAAAAGCTTAGATCTACACGAGGCGAAGAGAATTGTCAACCTGTTCTTGCCTTCCATGGGACGAGTGAAGAAAGTATATTGTCTATTGTTAAGACAGGGTTTCGAATGCCAGGTAATCCTGGCTATAAACAAGCAAACGATAGTGGTGAGTTGATTACTATGAATAAGGAAAAACGAACGATTATTTAAAATGAATTAACAGATCAAAAACAGTATTCCGCTACGCGTCGTGGTTTCCTACGCTCCTCTCGTGTTCTCTCAACATCCCGCGTGTTTTGATCAGAGTATCAAATACGGAAAACTGTTTTTGATTTGTCTATAAAATAACAAACGCGCGAAAAGATTWAAAAAATGCAAAGTCTAAGAAAATTCTCCCTACGTGCAGTCTTATTCAAACTGACCAATGAGCGCGCGCGATAGATTAAAATTGACGGTAGCGTGTTTTGATACTCTCATCAAACATGATTTTCGACCAATCATAGCGCGTGTAGTATCCCAATTATTTTATAAATCGAAATTAAAATCGAATTTGAAATTCGGAAATCGAAATTCGGAAATCGAAATTCGGAAACTGTGTGTTTCAGAGTCCAGGAATCGAAGCTGAGTCCCCAGAAGTATGAAAAGGCGAAGTTATTATTGCTATTGGTATTACGCTGTGTGCGTGCTCAGTACTTGTTTTTACCTCTCAGGATGGTATGGTCGTGGTATATACCTCAGTGAATACCCTTCCTATGCAAGGGAATACATGAAAAGAGGTGGAGTCTCATCTAAACTACTGCTGTGTCAGGTTCTGGTAGGAAAAGYGTTTCACTGTGAGGAACGCATTGATGGAGAAGCCTTGAAAGACGGTTTTGACTCTCATCTTTCACCAGCGATGCATCAACTCATTATCTTCAACGAACGCCATATTTTACCTTCATATGTTGTACATTTTGAAAAATCTGAGGGGGATTTTCGATATAACTAAAGATGCCACATTTCTTGTGATGAACCAGGTAAATAACATCGACATCTCAGAGTGCATACCATATATTTGTGAAAAACTTTGAAAGAAAGTGCACAAATTATTATCGTACGATCAGTAAACCGGAGTCAAGTTCGCTGAGAAAACAAGTTGAATCGAGTGATTTGATTTTTCTGGATTTTTACGCAACTACAAATGAAAATATTTCTTTTTTCAAAACTTTGCACTATGAATTTGTACAATTTGTATAGGAAATCGCACGTACATCTCGAGTACAACTCGGAATTTATAAGAAAGAGTGATGTTTTGAAATTTTTCAAAATTGGACGAGCTTTTTAGGCGAATCTTTTTTCGAATGATTGTTTCGACCTTACTACTCAGCATCATTAAGGCATGGCTCTCAAATGAAAAACCGTTTAGCTATATCATAGCCAGTTTTCTACGATTCTTCCCCAAACTTGGCAAGTTAATGTCTTTTGTGAAAAGAAGGAACCTTAGAGCCTTGGTTACCATGGAAACTAAGTCACGTGACAACCAGATCGCCATCTTGGATTTTTAAACAAGCCGTTTGTAAACGTACCGAAACATCTTTAAAAGTCATGAAAATGCAGATTACTATTCATATTTACAATGCCTATATGGATCTAATTGGATATCTTGGAAATTATTTTAAGTTTAATTTTTAGAATATTTTCTATTTTTTCCAAAAAATTAAAAATATTCTAAAAATTTAAACTTAATATAATTTCCAAGATATCCAATTAGATCCATATAGGTATTGCAAATATCAAAAGGAATATGGATTTTCAGGACTTTTGAAGTAGTTTCAATACGACTACAAACGATTTGTTTAAAAAATCCAAGATGGCCGCCTTGTGGTCACGTGACCTGGTTTCCATGGTAACAGATATGCGGTAATTGCTTGCCTTGAAGAATTACTACTACGAGCCAAATTTGGGAAAGATTCATAGTAAATTGTCAAAGATATGAATAAATAACTGATTTCCCATCACTTCCTCAAAAGAGCCATGCCTTAATGGTGCTGAGTACTTGTCACATGTATACAACCCACGACAAGCCACCCCAGGGGCTAGTTTTGTTCTTGAAAAATTCTTCGACAAAGTCTTCCATGGTCGACATTTTTACGCTTTGAATTCCTGGTATCTATCTGGAGATCATTAACTAAATAAACTAGTCAAATGAAGGCCCTGAACGTGAGAACCAAATGTGTCAGTTAAAAATAATTTAAAAAATGCGAGATGCAATGCAAAATACAAAATAACAATTTTTTTTTTTTTGTCAGCAAATTGGCATTTTTAAATGTTTTTGAATATTTTTTAGCTTATGAAAGACAAGGTACCGCTCTTTATACAATAACACTAAGCTTATCTCTCAACATCACAAATTTAAGCTCATTTGTATAACATACTAGCTGAAAGTTTGTCGATAGGACCGCACGATAGGAGGTGAAGCTCCTTTGTCTTGAACGCCGGAAAAACATACGATGCGATCAGTTGATTTAAAAAAACCGAATTCTCGAAGATTTATAGAGCTAAATAAAGGGCGAATATTCGTTGTAATATGCTCTCCTCCTTATATTTCATTCAGCATTAAAATAATTTAAGCTTATTTATAGAAATATTAAAAGTTTTGAAAGAAAGTCTTTTTTTGTCAATTCGTCGAAAGAAAATGCTTGTCATAGAAAGTAAAAATATGCGATTGCTTGCTAAAAAACACAAATCTGAATTATTGAAGAATATTTCTTGGTCCATCTTTGACTACATGGAAGTTTTTTTTAATATATGTTGTTGGTCTGTAATTTGTTCCAAAGCAATGTTTTGAAATATCAAGCGAGACTCCTGTGTTGTGTACACGGACGTACGTACAGAAGTAAATTCCGAATTGTACGAGAACATTGTGCAATTTTTTGTTTATAATACGCTCAACAAAATAGAGGAATTTAATTGGGACTCTACAGAGTACAATTTGGGATTTAATTGTACTCCTCTTGTTCAATCTGAATCGAGTAATTTTGTTGAGTGTATTGTATTCCCTCTATATATGCACTCTATTTTGAAGTTATTCTGAATATCGTGATACAATTTTTAAGGAGAACTTATCTTTTATTAATTATTATTGTGATTGTTCATTAGAAGTAAGCCCTATAAGACAAGGCAATATATATATTATTCTTATTAAGGATCAAAGTGTTAGAGCCAGTGGCATAGCAGCCTGCGTCTTTGAGTTTGACGGGTAAACGCGCGGTTTTTGGAGGGAAAATCATGGTTTTGGTTGGGTTCACTTGTTGCCTTAGTTTTCCTCTCTCGCTCCAAAACCCAGACCCAACGTCCTACAGGTTATAAATAAGCTTTTTTCATGCCCATCTCAACCTTCACAACTGAACTACAAGTATAACCATCTATATAGATGAGATCACATTTTGAGTTAGTATCATTGTTATTGTGCAGGAATTGTACCAGTTACCACAGCAGATATTTGACAACAAACTGCCCTGGTCCAGTCGAGTGGTTTGCCTGAGCTACTGCTGAGCTACAGCAGAAACACTGAGTGAAATCATTTTGTAAGACCCATGAACCAGAGTTCATCCCACAAGCACAACCAATAGCTTTATAGCCAACAGGGCAGGTGGCATTGTTCCATTGGTCTGTTCTTGGATGTACTTTAGTGTCGAAATAGTAAATCTTTCTCTGGTACACCTGTAGGTCCCATAGCACCAGTACACCAGGTGCGCCACCCTTCGCTGGAAAGCTAGACTCCCCCTTTATACCACTTTAGACTTTAGATTTTAAAATTTATTTATTCACACACTTGTTTACAATATTCAAATATATAGGAAAGAAATACAAATATAAAATTGAATTTTAAAAAAACAATGAAATAATAGCAATTCATGATTGGTCGTGCGTGGCTGTCGAAATGGTAAAAACTCTCGAGTCGACAGCCACATCAAATAGTAAATTTACAAGTGCTAGTGGACAAGATTATTTTTAATGAAAGTATGAAGAAAAAGAAAAAAGCACACTAACACACAAAAAAATCATGAAATTAGAGTTAGAGTTATTTCTTAAATCTGTGTTGAAATCAAAATAAATTTCAAATTGACCTTGAAAAGTTTTGATGATTTGATGAATATCAATTGGAATAGTCCCCTTCACGGTTCCCTGCGCCATCTTGAAAGGTAGCCGTGCCTTTGCATAGAAGCGAGACGAACGGTGAGCATGCAAAGTTAGGGACCTTTTAGTAACACCTTCGACAATTATTAGCATGCCTCTATCATTGGAAGTTCACCGTTCGTCTCGCTTCGATGCAAAGGCGTATAAGCTTGGGATCAATCGAAAAAAATCCCTCGTCACGAACCTGCTATGTTATCCTAACACAGCGCTGGCAAAAAACCAAATTTATTTACGGTGGGATTTGAACCAAAGTCAAAAAGGTTTTAAAAAATCGATTCCACTGTGCCATACCCCCGAGACATCCGCAGAGCTGGGGCGTCGTATGGACTTCGGACCTGACGGCAATTAAATCCTTCTGCCCTTGGGTGTACGAATTACGCCGGCTGGTCTGGGGGCCAGCCGGCCCCCAGACCATATCGGCTAATCCCTTGCATCTCTGCCACGCACGGAATCGGTTGAAAATGTAATGTTAAAAAAATCTAGTCTATCCGGTGCATTCTTTTCACCGCTATTGTTGTGTAAATTTCATGGAACCGTGACCCACTGGTAAAAACTTAGGTTTTCAATATGTACTGAGTCAAGCCCGTCTAAGGTGGGTTAATACCTGGATGGGTGACCTTAAAGCTGTACCTACTCAAGCTTTTGCTTTTATTTATTATTTTTTTTCATTCTGTTTTTGGAGTTGAAAAATTATAAAATATCTATTAAACTTACTTTATCATAGTAATGATGAAAAGGTAAATTATACACCGTGAAAAGATGAAAAAACTTACTGACGTTTCGGACGCTAGTCCT